AATTCCACTCTTGAATCTTATGGACATTCTCTTCCTTCCCTTCCAGTCAAACAGGTTGACCCATTGTTAGACATTCAAATCACTCCGGCTACTGTTGCTAAAGTCATATTTCAATTAAACTTGTCTACAGCTTGTGGTCCAGACAACAATCCTGTCACAGTCTTGCAGAATTGTTCTCTAGAACTTTCTTTAATTCTCTCTAAAATAATTTAACAAGTGTTTGACTGAGTCTTGTTTTCCTGCTTGTTGGAAAATGCCATCTGTGGTTCCAATATTCAAATACTCTGGAAAAAATTCTGACCCCTCCAATTATCGTCTGATCAGTCTTCTTTCTGTTATTAGCAAAGTCTTTGAGTCTTTGATCAACAAATTCCTCACATCTCATCTTGAGTCAAATAAACTACTGTCTGACAATCAATACGGTTTTTGATCCTCTTGCTCTACGGCCGACTTGCTAACTGCTGTAACTGAAAGATTTTATCGTGCATTAGATAGAGGCGGTGAAGCTAGGGCTATTGTTCTTGCCATATCTAAAGCTTTCGACAAAGTTTAGCATGCTGGTCTTCTCCATAAGCTTGTTTCATATGGTGTTTCTGGGAAAGTTTTTGAGATTATCAAATCATTTCTTTCTGACCGGTTTATTAAAGTCATCCTTGAAGGCCAACACTCTTCTTTATTTCCAGTAACTTCTGGGGTTCCCCAAGGTTCCATCCTGGGCCCTGTTTTGTTTCTTATCTACATAAACGATCTTCCTGACAACCTTTCATTTAAAGTAGCTCTTTTTGCTGATGACTCAACTTTATACTCCTGTCTTGACAAATAGTGTTCTCTTTTTGATCGCCTAGAACAGCAGCTGATCTTGAATCCGATCTCACTTCAGTAATAGATTGGGGTTCACAGTGGCTTATGAATTTCAACTCTAAAAAAAGCCAGTTGCTTACTGCAAACAACTACCGTAATATGGTCAACATTCCTATAACTTAAAGAATGGCAATCCTCTTACTGAGTCCTCCTCTTTACATCTTCTTAGATTATCGCTTACTACTGACCTTTCATGGAAACCATATATATAATCGATTGCTAAATTAGCTTCTGCTAAGGTTGCTTCTCTTTATCGTGCTCTCTATTTCCTTACTTCTGAATCCATTCTCTACCTCTACAAATCTCTTATTCGACCCTGTATGGAATACTGTTGTCATATTTGGGCTGGTTCTTCTAAGGATTCACTTTCTCTTCTTGACAAGGTCCAAAAACGCATTATAAATGTTGTTGAACCTGGACTATCTGCTAAGCTTGAACCTTTTTCCCATCGTCGTAAAGTTGCATCTCTTTCTCTTTTCTACAAATACTATCATGGTCACTGCTCAAAGGAGTTATCATCTCTAGTTCCATCAACTAAAATTCATTTTCGTTTTACTGTTCATTCAGCTAAGTCTTATTCGTTCACTGTATCTGTCCCTGCATGCTCTAAAAACTTTTATTCATCTAGTTTTTTTCCCTGCACTTCAATCCTTTGGAACTCTCTCCCATCTTCATGTTTTCCTGACTCATACAACCTTCAACTTTTCAAGTTTTCTGTCAACCGTTTCCTTGCTCTATAACTCTGTTCTTTTTTTTCCTAGTAACTCCCAACTTAATAGTAGTTGCTTGCAGCCTTGTTGGGAGTGAATCCAAATAAAAAAAAAAAAAAAAAAAATTTTTTTTCAAATGCTGAAAAGTGACCAATGTTATCCCATGTTTAAAGGTAAAATTGGTCATTCATTATTTATCATGTTTGATCAATAATACCCCTGCTATGGTGTTACATACACTAAGAAAACTTCTATGAACCATCTTTTGAAACATCAACTGTCAAACCAGCCAGATTTTGTTGCATCATAAATGCAGCCTGCTGTGTTACCAGTTGTCTATTGGACATAGCAGTTCTGCGCTTTATAAACCACCATTGGTGGAATAAAAGTTCCATCAGCACTGCCACAATTTGTGATGCTTGTTACGGACTTAGAATATTGTATTTTTTGCACAACATGCTTAAGACTTCTTTGAAGTATCTATAGAAGTCAATGGAGTTTTCCAGTTGTAGAGGATGTTGATCAAAGTTACAAGATGTATTTCAGTATCATTACTCAGACGTAACAGTATTCCTACCTTCTTTGAATGTCGATTTTTACACTTATTCTGTAGTGTACCCAATGGATTTTCAAACTGTGGACTAGCCTTTTACATGCTAATTCTTCCAGTTCAATATGCTTTCATAGCATTGGACAACATTTCTTGACTGTAGTTGCATATGCTCTTGGGCCAGGATTTTGCTTATGTTTTACTTATATTTCTGTCTCAAATCCGTCCTTGTATAAAATATTGTTGCCATATCTGGAGCAGATTTTCAAATGATCTATATGTTATCATTTTTTACAATAATAATAGTAATTAGTAATTGTTAATTATTATAAATAATTATATTTTAATGATAATTGATAATTAATAAATAATAAATCCTATTGTAATAATTAATAGTTGTTATATTGAGGAAAAATGAGCTTTGAGGAAACAAAGTGTATTAAGTTGTCATTAATTCTGGATCGAATTTTCACCAAAAATAATTCATCAACAGAAAGTTTTTTCTCCAACTCAATACTTGTTAGAGAGATAATCTCCAGTGCCTTAAACAAAATTTCAAGATTGGCTCTTCTCTTTTTAGTAATTTCATAGGCCAATGTTTCTAATAAAATTTTTTAATTTTTGGTTTGAAATATGACACTATATTTTCCCCAAATGCTGATTTGTTCTTAAGTTCATCTTTAAGTGAGAGAAGATTTTATTAAATATATGTATAAAATTCACTTCCAACAAGGTTGTAAACAACCACTATATTGGCTTTATTATATATAACTGTTACGAGTTAATAAAAAACATAGACAAAGGTTTAAAGAGCATGTAATTGAAGACTTATAAAGTTGTATGTTGTATGAATTAGAAAAACATGAAAATGGGCAAGAGTTTTGATGGTTTTTTGATGTGCAAAAAAAAAAAACTAGATAAAAAACAATTTTTATAGCAGGGTAAGAGTTAGATACAGTAAAAAGTAGGGTTAGATACAGTAAAAAATAAAAGTAAATTTTTTTTATATGGTAAATCTATCGAATTGATAAAAAAAATGTTTCTGAAGTTGAAGTGTAAATCAAGGTTTGTGGCACTTCTATATGCTAAACGTTCAAATTGATATTTTTCAAGTTATCTAGTTGTTAATAAGATTTTGCTCAATGATCAGGCTTGGTCGGGAAGCGGAAGCGCTAGCTCTCGATTGCTAACCTCGTAAATAAATATTTAGTTGCAAAAAACTGGCCAGATTTTTTAGTCGTTTTGATAACATTTTAAAAAGCAAAAAAAAAAAAAGCGCAAGAGATTAATTGGACCGAGATTAATTGTAACCTCAGGCGCGGTGCTTATTCATCCGCGAGTTACTTTGTATGCATTGTTTGTGTTTAGTAACCAGAAACTTCTTATATTTTTGTTATATAATTAGTTTTATTAACTTTGATGATTATAACTTCATTGAAAACACAAATATTTTTGTAAGGCTTTATTTAAATCATAAAAATTGCATTAAAAGATACATAACGATAAAAAACAGATACACAAAATTACATTTACATAAAGAATACATACTTTTTTAAATAAAAAATAAGAATATATTAATAAAATCTATAGTTTATCATAAACTTTTAAAATTTTGACAATTTAGTTAATATATATTTGAAACATTTTTTTTTGTAAACAAATAATATATATTCTTAAAATAATTTATGCTAGAAATCTCAAAACGTAACAAATCATGAATAATACAATTTCTAAAACATTTCAACAGAATATGTAAGAACTTTATTTTGCTTAGTCAGCGTATTTTTTGAACCAATAGAATTTGTTCCTTAATTTGGCAGGTTTTTAGTGTTCGCGAATATTGTTTTTATTCTTTCACACCAAGATAATTTAAGAACATTCAAGTTTTTTATGTTTCCATGTATGTCTGTAAAACCAAATTTTTTTGTTTTATATATAAACTTGAATGTTCTCAAAATTACTAAAAATTCTGGCCAGTTTTTCGCAACTAAATATAATTTCCGTGGTCAGTATTCAAGAGCGATCGCTCCCGCTTCCCAACCAAGCCTGAATGATGGTATTCTTGATTTAAAAAAAAATATAGCATTAAATAAAACTATATTTATATCATTGATTTGAAAATAATTTGATTTAAAAATAGCATTAAATAAAACTATATTTGTATAATTGATTTAAAAATAGCATTTAAATAAAACTATATTCAGGCATTTATCTCTGTTTTTACTATTTAGTTATTATTTTCTTTAGTTACTTATTTAATATTTTCTTACCTTTTTCTTAGGTTTCAAATATTACTTAAATAAGTTATGGTTTTTAAAAATATGTTCAAAACCATAACTTATTTAAGTAATAATAATTATTGTTAACTAAAAAGTTAAAAAAAAATCTATCTATAGGTATTTAGTTCTGTTTTTACTAAGAACTTTTAGTTTCATATTTCTTATTTTCTCAGTACTTTTTTCATAGGTTTCAAGTCTATATTGTTTAAAACCACTTATTTAAGTAATATTAGTTATTTAAAAAAAAAATTAAAAAGAATTTAACTTTGTTGAACCATAAAAGTTTTACAACTTTTGTAGCATTTCCACATAAAATATTGTTAAAAAAATAATTTTTTTGCATTTAACATCAAATCAGTTTGTTAATAAAATTTTATTTAATGTTATTTAAATAAAATTCTGTTTGTCATTTAATGTTATTTAAATAAAATTTTTATTGTCAGTTAATACTTTGCTATCGCTGGTATTAAAAAATTTGCTAACAAGAACTATACATTGTTTTTTATATTTGTTCTTTTATTCAGTTTTTGTGTTCTTTTGCTCACAAAAAATGGTTTTTAAATGAAATTAAATAGTTTTTAATAAAATTTAATCATTTAGAAACTTCGAGTTCAAAAGAAAGTTCTTCTAAGAAAGGTAATTATAATGTTTGATTTATTTAAAATTACTCAACATTTATTTCTGAAATGTTTTGTGGCACAAAACATTATTGAATTTTTTTTATGCTAAATGTTTCTCTCTCGAACATTATTGAATTTTTTTTATGCTAAATGTTTCTCTCGTGTCTTTTTAAATTGAAGATTTTTTTTTTGTTATTTTAACTATAAAATTTAAAATCCTAAAAAGGTAACATTTTTTATGATATATATATATTTTTTATGATATATATTTTTTATGATATATATCCTTTTTTTGTTAAATATTAACTTTTTTTTATTATGCCTTACATGCTTAGTTTTGCTGCTTGTTTTATTTTTGTTACAAATCAATAATTTTCTTTATTTCTTTAAATAAAGAAAGTGCTTTAAAAGTTAAAATAGGTTCCTTTTTGATTTACGTTCGCTACAATTTTTTGAAAAAAATATCTTTGAGAATTCCTTTTTCTTACAAGAAAATGTTCTCATTGAAATATATAACTGTCAAAAGAATCAAGTCTCCAAATCATGTTGATGCTGATAAAAATCATGGTATTAAATAATGGTTGGAAGTTTGTTCAGAAGACATAATTTTTTTAGTTTCATTAAATAATGGCACATTAAATCATCACAATATATAGATAAAGTTGTAGACTGCAGAAAATAACCTATTTAGAGATGATTAGATGTTTCAGTAAAGTGGTTACCAAACCTCATACTCGCAAACTTTTTCCAAAATAGTGTTACAATCGTTTTTTAGATTTATTGATAAAAATCATTGCCCAACAAATTCTCCTGACCCTTTAGAATTTGAGACTAGTTTGTTCACCGAATTAACTGGAGTAAAAAGTCGAAGAAATATTTAAGTGCAGAGTTAAAGCTAGCTGTAAAACTAATCAGATCTAATTGGGAAAGTAGTTGCACTGAAAACTTGTAAAAGAAAACATCAGATATTTTTTATATTAATAAACTAACTGTTTTTAACTTTTAAAAGTAATTTTTTTAGAAAAAAGTTAAATGGGTAGAGTGAAAAACTTACTGGATTAAAAGCAAAGTAAAAGTGTGTGGTCCTTTATGTGCAATAGGTTATGTCCATTTATAAACAAGTTAGCTTAGTTTGGTTACTTGTTCTACTATTATTACTGATAATTAATTTTATTTTATGTATCAGTAGCTCATTTAAGTCTATATCATTGTGTGTTGTATATCAATATTTTAAATATTCCTCTCTTTGAATAACACAATTTTGTTATATTCATATATCAAATGTTACATTAATTTGATTTTCATAGAAATTTAACTTAATGGCAATGAAAAAAAATTTAATTAGTTATAATTTTTTTTAAACAGAGTTTTTTACTTAAGTAATTTTTTACTTTTTAATTTATATTGAGGAACTATTAAGAGGGGGTTGTATCAACAATGTTTAAAAATTTAAACTTAAAAAATTTATGAAGTAAATTTGTTTCAAAATAAATATCAATATTAGAAGAAAATACTGACTTGCACACGATGAGCATTTAAAAATTTTTTTTGTTAAGGTATCAAATGTGGTAAATACATTTATAAAAAAAACCATGCTGTTTTTTTTTTATTTTTTCTGTCATTACAAAATTTAATAATCAAATAATATAAATTAAAATGTATAGCTAATGAATAATTTTTTTTCTTATTTTCATAATACATAAGTATTTAAAAAAAATGTCAAATATAGCAAAAATTTTAAAATCAAAACAATATGATAACCAATAAACACTTAAAAAAAAATTATAAAAATTTCTCGTACATAGCAAGTTAATTTCTTAATTATGCAGGCTATTACAATAGTGAATAAGTTGCTTATCAAAAATTTCCATTGTTATTAAATTGTTATAAAATGTTTCTTTCCTTAATTTGTATCAAATTTAACAACCACCCTTAAAAAAAAAAAATATAAAAATTAAAAGAAAAATTTTTTTTTTAATTTTTTTATTTTAAATTTCTAAATTTTTCTAGTTTATTTAATGAAAATTTAACATTTTGTTACACATTCGTTTACTTGTTTAGAATTGTCTTTTTTACTCAGTAGATAAGTTTAGCTTTTTTACGCGAATCGTTAAGCACCTAATTATTAAATGCCTAAAAAGTTAAAAAGTACAAATTGCTGTGGTCAGTATGTCCAAAAATTACTTTAAACGTTGACGAACAAGGTTGCGACCGCAGGCACTTTCCGGAAAGGTTTACATATGTTCAGATCACTCTTGGGAAACACTAATGTAAATCTATTATTGAATAAAGTATTACCAATGCTTATAAACTGAGAATACATATAGATGTACTGTTTAATATTGTTTAATGTAGACAGCAGAATTTCATGGTCAAACACTATATCAAACACTATATGCAATCAAAAACACCCTCCACCAGCATTTCAAGAAATACTTCTACAGTTTTTAATCAAGAACTTCACGTATTTGTCTCTATGTTGTATTTATGTTTATGAGTGTTTGACTTGTATAGTGTAATTTATGAAAACCAAATTGAAGATTAGATTTTATAAAAAGACTATAAGATTTAAAAAACTTTTTAATTTGTTTGACATGAATTTAAGTAAAGATATAGATTGATAGTTGCAAGTTATAGGTTACAGTTATGTTCTCTAAAAATTTCTGATAATTGTGGAAGAATAATCATGAAACAAGTTTTTGTGGTTGAATCATGGCCTTCTATAATAACAGGCCTTGACATTGCGCGACACGCTGCAAAAACTGAAGGCCGATTAAACTTTGATTGCTTGTATATTTATATAAAGTCTTACTAATTGCTTTTAATACTTTGTCAATACTTTCTTATTGGAATCTTTAATAAAGACAAAATTATAATAAGAAAACTAAAATCGTTTGAAAAATGATCATACTTTAACATATTTAAAAATGTTAGAAGAATTTTTTTTTTTTTTGTTTACAGAACATAACTTGAAATAAAGTAACATCAAAAAATGTCAAATAAAAACAAAAACAAAGTCAATTCATTAAAAAACTTTTTAGTTTTATGTATCTCTTATTATGTATCAAATAACTATTTTTAAATTTAAATACATCCAGAGACATAAAACAAAAGGAGAATTAAAACCTGAAATTCAAAAAAACTATGACAGCTTTAGTATTTTTGCTTTCGATTCTCTGCTACTATTAGGAGTAGAAATTAGTGCATAATTCTTCAACAAAATATTAGAATATATTCTGCATTGTCTCTTTGTTATTTTAAATCTATACTTGGCTGCTATGAATTGAAACTGAGTTACACAAAATGTTCTGCATAAAGGTCCAGTGGCACCTTGAAAAAATAGAAAACAAAATATTGACCATTGGACGAGAGTATCAGTAGGAATTTCAAGTCCACCTCTGTTTAAGCTATTCAGATAATCTCCATATTCGTTATAATAACTGGTTGTATCATCATAGATATTTATTTTATTTTTTTGCACATAGCCAGCTATGTAAACGATAGCTAATAATGTCGATTTATTAACCAAGCTTTCAAGATCATGCAAATTATCCAGCAATTTTTTTTCATCAGTAGGAACATCTCTGCAACATATGTCACAAATATGACCATCAACACCATTAACAGGAATGTCTAGTTGTAATATCAGTTTAGTATGTTGAATATGTATTTTTTCAAGTACAGATTTAGCATTTATGAAGTATGTACCCCCAGACCCCTGAGGAAGCTTAGAAAAAAATTTTTCAAGAGGATCTGTTGAAAACCAACCTAATAAAACATATTTGGATCCAGTACTCAATAACGTTTCCACAAGATCAATGAAACCATAGCATGTATGTTCTATTGCAGTACTGGTATCATGTGTAAGCTGCTTAAATCGCCTTCCTGTAGGTTTCATAAATTTTGCCAAATCAGCAGTATCTCGCAGCAGTTGTAACTGTTGATCATCAATTGAGTGTATTTCTCCGCGCAATTCATTTCTAAATCGAATTCCAGCACCAGGTGCTTTGACATTAACAACACTCCAAAAAGAAATAATTTTTTTAATAAATACAGCAGTACCTTCAAATTCTTTATTTTCAATGTCTGGATGTGTTCTAAAAGCAGCTACTGTTTCTTCACAAAACACAGACAAACAAAATTGTACTGACTGTCTCTCTATTGGTTTTGGATAAACTGATTTAGCTGTTAGTTTAGAAAGTTTTAAAAGGCTAATAGATTCAGTTTTATACAAGGTTTCCAAATCACTCCACTTGGCCAAGGTCAGTTCCCCATTGTGCAAAAAACAAAGTTGACCAGTCTTCTCTGTCAAACAATTATTTCGTATACATTTTAGGAGATGGACATAGTCATACAATAAATATGTACCTGATGTTGTTAACCATGGTTTACTTTCAAATGTTTTAAATGTTCTGAAAAATCGTTGATTTACCCGGTTACCATCAGTGATGATTGCAAGTGTCTTACTGTTTTCAATAATATTTATTGCATCAAGAATTTGTTGACATTGTGCGAATTGAAATTCAGCGGAAAGATTTGAAACTGGTTGAGCTCTACATATAAATTTTGGTCCTCCAAAAAGACATTTAATCATAAATGATAAAATTGTTGTTGCTAGCCTCTCTGGGTAGTTTACTGAATGACCAAACAACGCGCCTCTTTGGTAAAGTAATGAACCTTTTATATAAACTTCATCAATTAAAATAATGGAAGTTCTTTTTAATGGATCTAAATTCATAAAGATACTATTTATGAAGTTTAGGTCCTCCATAGAACTAATTTTTGAGGTCAGTCGTGTTAAAGTGCGTATACTGGGCAACTTGTAGTCAACACACAAACGATCATATAAACTACGTCGCATAGCAAAATACTCATACGCTCTACATATAATATCTGGAGTATATAATACTTCACCAACACTAACTTTTCTCATCACATTAAGGTGCTCAAATAGAATATTAGATTGGTGAGAACTCTCTTTATGTTTTAAAAATCTAACTGCTTCAAATAAACCAG